CATCCTTGCACAATGGGGGAGGCAGTGAGGCCAAGCACAGAAGAAATTGCTATCCTCCTCCCAGAATGATTGAGAATCAGAAAATTCTACCAAAAAAAAATTTTGGAATAAATATGAGTGAAAAAACATGGGATAAATTTGCAGAGAAGTTTCATTAATTTTTCTCCAAATACATTCTGACCAGGGAAGAGACAAAAAACACAAGGCCATTATTTTACTCTGCTTGAGAGCCTAATTTTCCATTCAGATTAGCTACCCAACAGGCAGGAAAGGCCCCAGGGCCCACAGAGACAGGCAGCACAGTAGGTGATACAGGTAAAAGCAACCGGCAGGAGACTCCTTGTGAGAAACATCATCAGAGTGAGATTTAGAATCCCTCCCCAGGCAGCTCAAAATCCTCACAATGACAGAGGAGAAAGGACCAAGACCAAGGGTCATGGAGCCTTCGATTTCTCTAGGCCATGAGACCAGTAGGGGCAAAACTGGATGTCCTCAGGCCCACTTTGGACTTGACAGGAGAATACAAAAGAACAGTTCACACATACACATTATCTGGGAGAATGAATGACACTAATGTGCTTAAAGGCTCCTTCTTGACATTGGTTTGGGCAATGACTTTTTTTTTTTTAATATGACACCAAAAGCACAGGCAACAAAAGCAAAAACAGACTAGTGCATCCAACTAAAGATTCTGCAGAAGGAAAGTCAACACAATGAAAGACAATCTATGAAATGGGAGAAAAGATTTCCAAACCACATATTCAATATAAGGTTAATATCCAAAATATATAAAGAACTCCTATAAATCAATAGAACAAAACACACATTAAAACCTAGCAAAGGACTTGACTAGGTACACATCAAAATCACAAGGAGATATTTCTGGTGAGTGTTAAGAGTGAACCCAGCTCCAAAGACTAACTTCCCCATCCCCCGAGAAGAGCCGTCCAATGGTGAGCCCTGCTGGCTCACATGATCCTTACCCACCAATCAGACTAGCCCTGCTGACTCACATGATCCTTACCCACCAATCAGAAAGCACCCCATGCCAACTGTCAAACCCTTCAACCATTAAACTGTCATAACTGTCAACCACCCCTGGCTCTATAAATATGCAGAGCTGTTCCTCAATAAACGGGCATTTTCTCCAATGAGCCTTGTTCATTCTTTCAGTGAGGATATGGAGAAAAGAGAACCCTTATATACTGTTCGTGGGAATATAAATGAGAATCGCCTTTGTGGGAAATAGCATGGAGATTACTAACGAAAGCTAAAGGTAGAATTAGTATATGATTCAGCAATTCTACTTCTAGATATGTATCCAAAGGATCACTATCTTGAAGTGATATCTGCACTCCTATGTTCACTGTAGAATTATTCACAATAGTCAAAGTAAAGAAAAAAACTAAATGTCCGTAGATATGAGGCATATAATTACAGAATCCCCTTATATACCCAAGCCTACACATGCTCAAGTCCTTTAAATACTGTAATATTTGCATGTAAGCTATGTACATCTCTTATATACTTTAAATTATTTCTTGACAAAACATACACAGGACTAGCATGCCAAAAGCTACACAATATTGATAAAATAAATCTAGGAAGATCTAAATAAACCCAGACACAAACATGGTTCATGGATTGCAAGATTCAAAGTAGCAAAGTTACCAATTCTCCCCAAGTTAATACACAGGTTTAATATAATTCCTATCAAAATCTCATCAAGTTGTTTGTATATAAGATTATTTTTAAATTTACACATAAAGACAAAGAAGCTAGAATCTGCCAAACTCTTTTGAAAAAGGAGAATGAAATGAGAGAGTCTACCTAATATCAAGATTATACAGTCAAGAATGAAGACTGTGGGAAGTTGGTGGAACAGAACCTAAAACTTAGAAAGGGACTCACAGAAGTATGTCTGATTGATTTTTACCAAAGGATGAATGCAATTTAAGGGAGAAAAGACAGCTTTTTGACAAATGGTTCTGAAGCCTTTAGGCATCTATGGGTAAAGAAAAGCAGAGGAAGAAAGGGAAGGAGAAGCGGGGCTGGGAAGGAGGAAAGGAAGGAAGAAAGGGAAAGGAGGGAGGAAAAGAGGAAGGTACAGGAAAGGGAAAGAGGCAGAGAAGGAGGGAGGGAGGGGAGTGAAGAAATGAACCCCCACCTAAGTCTCAGCTCTCATACAAGAATTAACTCAAAGGGGATCACAGACTTACATGTAAAATGTAAACATGGGAGGTGACTGGAGGGAGGGAGAAATGGGTATGGCTATAAGGACAATATCAAGGAAGTCTTGTGATGGAAACATTGACATCTTGACTGCATCCATATCAAAATCCTGACTGTGATTCTGTACAGTAATTTTGCAAAATTTTGCCATTGGAGGAAACTAGTTAAGGGTATGCCAGGTCTTTCTGTACTCGTTCTTAAAACTACATGTGAATCTACAACTATCTCAAAGTCTGATTTCAAAAAAAAAAAAAACCTGAAAATCCCTCATTCAAAATTTTAGTACACATTGGAGTTCAAAACAAGAAAGGAAACCTCAACGAGCCAAATGAGAAAGGAAAACATAAGGCCAGAGTTGAGTGGGAGATGAAGCTACATGGTTCTGGAGAGATCCATGACCATTCAGACTAGGAATCAGGATTTAATTTCCCAGGAAGGGCTGGAAATGAGGCAAAGGGTTGTGACCCAGTCAAAAACAGTACTTACTTTAATAAAGCTGCGGCTAAGAAATACTATGAGCAGGAATTAAAGAATGTCCTATTAGCAGAAAACAAGTATTTGTTTACTGTCCCAGATACATAGTCCAGAGCATAGGTGCCTAAACCAGGCCACTGGTGGAAGTAGAGTTCCCCAAAACATCAAGTCCCCAAATAATCCCATGGAGTGTTTCTCGAGAAGTCATTCAGTGACTGGGCTCTAAAAAATTCCAAAATCATCTTGGCCACCACGTGGTTCTCCTATACTTAGAACAAATCTCAAATCTGAATCTGGAAATGCCCACATGGTAGTTCCCACTGCTCCTCTGGGGCTCTGTGCAGTTGAAAAAGTCCCAGTTCTGCATACCCAAGTCTGGAGTAATGTTGAGCAGTATGTCGTTTCCTTAGAAAGCACAAGAGGAAAGCAAGGAGAAATTGAGAGCAGCGGTTTTCACCTTTGGCTGCTTGCTACAATCACCTGAAGAGAACAGTTCCTTCTTAGCAATGTTGGATAACACCACTAATAAACACCCACTGTTTCTGTTGGTCCAAAGACCACGTTGCTCTAACCCATGAAGAGGCACCTGGGTTTAAAGTTTCTAGGCTCTTATTAGCATGATAATTATTTGCATGCCTAGTGCAGAGAATGAGTTCCCACATTAGTGTTCTCCAGAACAGTGTGGATTCTGCATGTTTGTCTCTTGGATTCTTTAGTTCTATGTGCCCATCCTTCCAGATCAGGGGCTCTTTCTTCTGCTGTGCTGGTGACAGAGGGTAAGGTGATAATGATACTTATTGGTTGGCTTTCATGGTTGTGTTACAGAAATGAGAGATCTAGGACTACAAGGCAAGATGTGACCTGAAGCTAGGGTGAACCCAGAGGATGAGGATGTCTCCCAGTTCTACCAAGCACTACAAGAAGCTGAAAAGAAGAAGAAGGGCTCATTCATGATTTTTTAATGTTTATGGTCTAATTAAGGGAAATGCTAAAAAAAATCTACATTTGAATATCCAGATGTACACAAAAAGCCATTAAAAAATTATTTCCATTTACAGTACATAGCAATTCATTCCCAGGGGTCCTTCAGATTTAAATGGTTGTACAATGTTTACAAGAGTTTTCCCACAGTATTCCAGCAAAGCCAAATTCTACAGATACAAGATAAACACAGAGCAAAATGTTGAAGAACAAAAATTCTTAGCAAAATGACAGTAATGGTGGAAGGACTTGGGACAAGTGCCTTCTGTATGAATGCAAGGTCACTAGCTGCTTTGCTTGGAAAACCTTGGATACCTGTCACCTTCAGGGCTCTGGAATGTTCCCCTGAAGTCACCCTCCCTGCGCACGCTGTGAGCACCGGTCACTGTCTCCTACTTCAGCAAGAGGAAAACCTCAAAAACCATCAACACGGTCCCTAAGCATGCTGGCCATCGCTTGCTGGCAGGATGTCACTGCAGCTGCTGCCAGAATCAAGGGAGAACAAAGGGATGGAACTCATTTTAAATACAGGCTTAAACTTTGGAAAAGTCACCCTCTGAGAGGTGATGTATAATAGTAGAAAACTCAGGATTAAGTTAACTTGCACAATAAAATTATTTGATATTTCCAAACGACCTCATCTGCTAAAAAAAAAAATGGGGAGGAGGACAATGTACGAAAACCTCATCATAAGCCACACATTCCAGTGACTGGTGTTCTAGAAACAGGGGTGTATCTGCTTCAGTAAAGTCGTATTTATGAAAAGTCGGTGAACCGTAGTTTGCCAACCCCTCCTCTGAGGCTGGTTCTGACATTATCTCCATTTATAGATTTACAGATAACAAATGAAAGTGCACGGGGATCCACTCACAGTCTAAGATGCTACATGAACTCTGAAAGTGAAGTACATATATAGCCAACCATTATGTCGTAGCAGCTTCTCTTATCACCGTTATTATTAGTAAAACTCTAAAGCAGTTCAAATTCAGGTTTTTCTCATTCCAAAGGTGATGGCCAGCCATCCAATGAACAAAACCCTCAGAGTTGACCCAGAGATTGAAGACCCAACTCATGTCCTCCCTTTTCTCCTCCACCTGCCCCTCTGTCTCTTGCACTAAAACCCTCAGTGTCCTTACTCTCTGCACCTCCCAAATAAATCACGTTCTCCCCACCCCTCTGAAGGTCCAGATCATGACGTCACAAGGGCCCAACTGTCATGCACTGATGCAGCTATGAACCTGTTGATAGAGGATCCAACAGGCTGAGGGTCTAAGGGCCTGGAGCAGGGGCAGATGATTGGCCCAAGCACTCACCAGTCCATGGCAGGCGCTGAGGGCTGCAGTCCCAACTGTGGTTCCCTGCTGCAGAACTGTGCCCCTGAGGTGGCAGGGAGGCCCCGAGGAGGCCAACATTTTAACGTGGGAGAGGTTCCCATATCTCTTCTCCACGATGTAGCTATTGGAAAGAAATCTCTGATTGACTGTCAGGTTGAAGAACAGGTCCTTCTCCTCGTGTGAAATTTGGTAGTAGACCCAGTCCTCTGAGGAACCCAAGTCTCTCTTCCTCCTGCTGCTGGGGACAGGAAGGTGCAAGCTATATGACAGGAAATGCCCACTCGCATCTACTTGGACAGGACCCACCACCTGGTATTCTGGCAGGGTCTTGATAAAATGTTCTGAAAGAAAAAAGAAGAAACTGAACCAGTTGAGTCCAAAGCAAAACAAATCCACTTCCACTTAGAACTCAGATTAGTCTGATAACCATATGGATATCATCAATACTGATTTCCCTGAGCAACTCAAATTTGCACAGTGCTTTCTGATTGGTGACATGGCAGCAGTTGGAGCTGACACTAAAGTGAAACTGTAGATATCAATAATTTATCAGGGATGATGTAAGATGAGCATGAATTTTTGCAGAATACCATTGGAGAAGAGGCAAGATCAGCATGACAAACAGGGACATCATGAGTCTAGAATTCATTGACAAGTCACAGAGCTTCACTGTATGACAAGGTGCTTAAAAGACTCAGAAACTTCCTTCTAAGTCAAGTTAGAGGAAAAAGCCTAAAACATAATGAACCCATCACATACAGATGATCCTTGTACCAATGTCAGCTTAAGCGTGATACAGCACAGACCACTTTAAAAAGAACTTGGGGTTGGGCATGGTGGTGCACACCTGTAATCCCAGCAACACAGGAGCCTGAGGCAGAAGGATAGCAAGTTCAAAGCCAGCCTCAGCAATTTAGCGAGGCCCTAAGCAACTCAATGAGACCCTGTCTCTAAATAAAATGTTAAAAAATGAAGAAGGGTGGGGGGCTGGGGATGTGTGTGGCTCAGTGGTCAAGAGATGCTGGGTTCAATCCCCTGCACAAAAAAAGAAAAAGAAAAAAAAAAGAAATTGAGTTTTTTTTCTTAATGTTTACAAAACACACAAAAGAAGATGCTAAAGGAATATATTAGGATCTGAAGCAATGGCTTAAAAATAAGATAACTATCACTTTAAAAATGCAAGACAGAATCCAGTGGTTCAATAGAGTGAGGCAGGAGGATTGCAAGTTCAAAGCCAGTCTCAGCAATTTAGTGAGGCCCTAAGCAATTCAGCAAGACTGTCTCAAAATAAAAGGGCTGGAGATATGGCACAGTGGTTAAGCACCCCTGGGTTCAATCCCAGGGACCAAAAAGGGAAAAAAAATGCAATACACACACAAAAGGTAAGCCTTTGACTCACCCAAATTTAAATCCCCACCACTGCCTCCTTATTTTGATGTTTGAGAATAACAATGGAGCTAACTAGCCAGGAATCAGTCGTCATAATCTAGATTATAGACTAAGCAAAACAAACCATTAAATGTGTAGTAAAATAACCTAATCTTTTGCTTCAGGGGGTAAAAAGGGGGAAAGAAAAAGAAAAAAAAAAACATTTTTCACCTCCCAACTAAACCCCTGGAACCTTCTAACTTGCATTACTTTGCTAACGTTCTTTCCCAAAAGATCTAAATGTGTTTTGCATTATATCAAAATTCTGTTACACTTTACAGATGCAATTCAGTTTCTTTCTCTTCATTCCCCTGATGACCCTTGAAGTCCTCCCCCTTTGCCTGCACCTTTATTTCTGTATCTCCCAGAACAGCCTTACTTGACATTGTCTTTTGCTATTTAATCCTATTTATCCCTGAATCTTTTGGAGACCAAAATCTTATACATCACAGGTATTCGGTTCATATAAGCTGATGTATTAATGAACAGTTTATAGCCGGTGGACTAAAAGAATTGAACTTGATGGGATACAGTTTAAAGGAGCTCTCCCCTCAGAAAACAATGGCATTCAAATATTATTTATGAAATCATCCTTCTCCACCTTGGATGAAATATGGGGCAGAGTACAGTGTTTCCATTCTCAGGTACTAATAAATAGTCTCAATTTTTCAATTACAAAAGTTCAGACCAATTACATCCAACTGGGACTTTTAGGGTCAACTTAACACATAGCAACAAAGACAAATCTTAAAAACAGTGCTCAATAAAATAAGAAACAAGACAAATTAATACAGAGCTAATTATATTAATGAAAAATACTCATGCCCGTGCACATGCGCACACACACACACAATAACAGAAAAAATAGGAAGTTTTTCAGAACATGTGCAAACAAAAAGTACATATGGAAGCTGTTAAAATGGGTTTTCATGGAGAGGAACTGGAGTAGGGATGGAGAACAAAAATTTATAAATACAAACTACAAAAGAGAGTTGTACAAATTATTGATGCCAGTGTGCCATGAACTAAGGAGTGTAACTGACTCAGTCTGCCCTCTATCTCCCACTCACTGCCCCAGAAATGTCTGGGCAGATCTAATATTGGCACTTCCCTGGCCTTCCAAGTTCAGAGCTGAATGAAGAGAGGCGTGGCCAGTTGGGAGCGGTGGGTGTGGCCAGCTTCTGCAGTACTCCCCTCCAGTTGCTTTTCTCTTCTGCAGCTCACAACAGTGGGCTGGCTGCTCCAGGTGCTGACCCCTGCTCTCAGGAGTAGCTCTCTGAGCTTTGGATGACCTCTATCACTGGGGATTGTCCAGGTCCCCTCAATGTGGGCAATTCCTCCTCCAACTGGCCATCCTTTGCCTTTCTATCTGTCACCCCTGTACTGTAGCTGATTCACCCCTATAGTATGTCCTCTTTGGCATTTTTCAAGATGATCCAAGTTGCCTCCCATGGGGCCCAAATCAGGCTCACAGGAAATAACCATGGTCCGTTCCCAGCCGCCCAGAGTTAGGGAAATCACATCATTCCTCTAAGGTCATCCCATTGGTTGGCTCTGTCACCAAATGCCATTCCACCTGGGCTTTTGCCTATCTGCATGTTCAAGCTCCTTACTCCCCAAATCCACCTCAAACTCTCTGAGCTCTTTCAAGGCCCCTTCCTTTGCCTTAGATGGGAGCACAGTAGAGGGTAATGCCCCAGTACTCTGGCTTTCTCCTGAGAACGTCTCTCTCCAATATCTTTCCATGGACCTTTAAGCCTCTCATGTATGCACAAGAAAGGGGAAGGCTTAGAGTCATATCTAAGTCATATCATAGCTATGCTTACATGGTTCAGAATTCTCTTTGTGAATATGTGGGACATTAGCCTCTTTTCTTTTCCCCTTACACTTAAGGTCTCAGCAGAAACTAAGACCAAATTAAACATCTCAGTTTAAAACCATTTTACATATGCAAGTCTCTGCATCTCTGCACCAAAACAGAGAAACAAGTGTCTTTTCTAAAAACTAGTTTTTCCAGAAAGCCATTACTAAGTTAATGAAGGTGAACACAACCAAAATCACCTAAATTAAAAAAAAAAAACAATTCTGAGTAAAATGTTATACTCTTTGGACAAAACTAAAAACAATTAAAAATGTTTTATTCAAGAATTTCAAGTTGTCATGAAGTGGAGATTGACAAATGCAATTTTAAATCGATCTCACAATTTTAAAAATGGCCCTAAATAGGGCTGGGGTTGTGGCTCAGTGGTAGAGTGCTTGCCTAGCAAGTATGAGGTACTGGGTTCGATTCTCAGCACCACATATAAATAAATTAATAAAATAAAGGTCCATCAACAATTTAAAAAATATTTTTTTAAGAGAGAGTGAGAGTGATAGAGGTAGAGAAAGAGAGAGAATTTTTTAATATTTATTTTTTAGTATTTGGCGGACACAACATCTTTGTTTGTATGTGGTGCTGAGGATCGAACCCGGGCCGCACGCATGCCAGGCAAGCGCGCTACCGCTTGAGCCACATCCCAGCCCTTAAAAAATATTTTAAAAAATAGTCCTAAGTAGATAATTTTTGTGAATCCCTATGTCAAAACGGCGTTGTGCATATTTAACAATCATGGCAATTACGCAGAAATATGAAAACAATAGGATATAATAACAAAGGGGTAATCAATATATAATTGTATCTTCACTACAATTGCAACTGCGATACACATACACATGCACACACATGAACCAAGCCTTTCAGATGATGTGTAAAAATGATGGTGATCTTTGGGGGTGTGATTTTCCCTTTTGAAATTTGTCTTCCCTATGCTGTTTTCCCAATTACATGTAAATAGTGAAAAGGACCAGGTGCTATGCTGGCTCATGAGAGGATTAGAAAAGTGCCAGAAGAGGGGATAAGGAAGGGATGCCAACACGCCAATGCCTGCAGCCTGTGCCCATCGCAGCTGGCTGAGTCCCTAGGGAAGAACTAACCTGAGGAGGTATCTCTGCACAGTTCCTGGAGATGAGGAGGGAGTCGCAACAGTTAAGCACAGGGTCCTCTCAAACAGAAGGAGTTTGGGGTAACCGAAAGGGATGCCAGCAGGAGATAAGGGTATAGGGAAAAGTAAGCCAAAGGGTAGAGTGAGCCTTGGACATTCTTTCTGCAGTGTGCAGCCCCCCGGCCATCCAGCAGAGAAAGGTAATAATCCCAGTTTTGAGTTAGAAAAACAACAACAAGAAGAATGAACTTAGTTGAAGAACTATTTTGATTTTTTGCAGAGAGAAACACATCCAAGTTTCCTGATTTGAAATAAACCTAAGAGGAATTGCCTCTAAAGATATATCTCAGAGATTTAAATATGATTTTCAAGAGTACAAAATGAAAGAATAAGGCTTGCCTAACCCCTGAAATCTATTGCCTAAAAGAGTAAAAAAGCAAACAAATTTACAGATTTTTTTTACCCAATTGCTTTTGGTGTAATGAGTTTTGAAAGAGAGCCAACATAAATTGACTGTATAATAATAATATAATGATAATAATTATAGTAACTTTTTAATGAGCACTTACCATGAGCCAGGTAGAATCAGGCTTCCCTCATTCAATATTCAAAACAACTGTGTGGTATAAAATCAGTTGTTATGCCCATTGCACAGATAAGAAAACCGAGTCTAAAAATGCAACATTACTTGGGTCAAAATGCTGAGACTTCTATTTCAAAATTATGCTTTTAATCAAGGAATTGCATATGCATTAAGAGAAACAGATTCCAAGAGAACAAACAGAGTTAGAGGAAGCAGCACTGCTCCTAGGGATGATGACCAGGAAAGAATGGCTTGATCTCTTTATTTCTCAATTCACTAGACAATGCGTGGAGATCAGAACTGCCTCTTAATTGGCCATGGTAATGGGAGGGAGATACAATCAATTTTC